GAGGATGAGGATGAGGATGAGGATGAGGATGAGGATGAGGATGATGATGATGATGATGATTGTTAGTGTACCAAACAATCGTATGGTGTTGTTTAGTTATTGCTTTAGTTTACCAAGCGGATGGTTTTTGGTATGATTGCTTCCGCCAAAGGCAGGTTTGGCTCAACGCGGCTCATGAATTTGAACTATCGATGGAGACCACCTGGCTGGAACCTCAAGCAGAACGGACACCGTTGATGCTTCTGCGACCCGAATTGGCACACAAATATGTTATCATTACGTCCCGACCTCCCCTGCATGGTTAATCGGTTAATCCTTTTTGATGGAAAATGATTTTGGGAGTGAACTGCCACCCATCGCAAAAAGTCGTGTTCTAAGCAGTGCTCAAGCTTGAACGACAAACGTCGACTTGAAAGCAGGACTGATAAGGTGCCCAGGATGGCTTGCGATGGAAAGTGCGCACCAAAGCAGCCGGGGAACTCCTTTCTTTGAGTGGGCTAAATCCTGTAACATTCTACGTGGGTAGGTAGATTGGTTCATCGGTTACCCTGTTCTGAGGGTTTGTCACCCATGGGAAAATGTTGCAGTGCCTACATTTTGTTCAAAATTCACGCTCCTGCGCATGCTAAATCTGGGAATCTGGGATTTGCAACACATCGGCCTAGGGCGTCTTTATGGCATGCCCCCAGTCACACTTCAACTAATACTTGTTGAGTGTTGGAATTGACGGATCGCAACATCTCGTCCTAAAGAGGTTAAGATCTTTACAAGTACTGATTGGGGGCCCAGCTTTCATACAACAAGCACTTTGGAATTGAGATCTGCGCAAAGCTACAAAACTCACATCACTTCTCCGTGCCCTCGTGGGCATCGGCCTGAGTCTCAGTGGGCCTTCCTCGAACCGCCTCAGCAATCTGCTTGCACTTGGAGAGGTCGTCGTGGCCACCCTCACCCGTCGCGGCGGACTTGAACACTCGGGAGTGGCTCAAGTCCGAAGGCCACCGGAACGTTCTCCAAAAACACCATGAATGTCCACTTGGGCTTCCTCTACCATGGTGGTTCCTTTTTGGTCACTACTAAATACTAGATGAAACCACAAATCCGATTGCAAAATGAGTTGTATATTCATGTAGTTTCACAGACGGCGTGCCACATTTGCAGAACACATTCTTGAACATTTGTGTTTGACATTGAGGGGCCCTTCAAAATCTTCCAACGCATATGAAAAATGCTCTTGCTTAACACTCTTTTAGGACACTCTTGGGCGACACTCGTCCTACACAAGTTGCGCGGTAAACCAAACGGGAAGTTTCATCGGAGTGCACGCATCACAAAACTCTGCACCTCCAAACAAAGCCTACGGCGGACAATTGTGCTAAGAAGTTCTTTTAAACACAAAATTCGACACTACTTTCGGGGCGGGCTTTTAGATCTAGTCTAGATTCCGAAAAACAACAAATGGCAATTTGGCTATCTGTGTGAACAAAAATAAACAGATCAAACATATTTATATATTTCTTTATTTCGATATATATATAATATATATTTTTGGCATCTCATCCTTCAACACCCCAGCCAGCATACGCGCTCCAATTGACGTTAGGTTTAGCAAGGAGGGAGTGGTGGATATTGGGCGCATGATTGGACCCACTTCAGACCGTTCAGGCCCCGTTCTACGCGATCACGCACTATCATATCACACTTAGCCACACACTTAGCCATTAGTTCATGCGATCCAGGTCGCAACCTCAAGTCTGTCGGGCTCAGAAGTCCCTTCTCTGTTGCATTCTATTTCGATAGCAATGCATGTGGACATTGTTCTTGAACACAGATTTGCGGCTGAAGAGCTGAGCTTGACCTGTGTGGCCTCATAGCATAGATAGGTACCGTGGGTTGCTTGGTGGTTCTAGACCCCTGTCAGGCCCCTTTCAGGTGTGTTTCTATTCCACCTCTTAGAAGGCAGTGAGGTCCCGTCCACACGCCTGGAATGATTTCCGCATTGTGATGCTTCACCCACACCACTCAAACTTGCGATTTTTTTGCCAAGACTTGTCAGAAAGCGACACTTCGAATCAAGCCTTTCAAGAGCAAATTCCAATGGCCAAGTAGCAACAACTTGATAGCAACATCATACATCACACTTGAAAGTCACGTTTCCAATTACGCAGTTTCAGATGGATCTGACAGGTCATTCTGCTATCCTTGAATCCCCGGATTTCAGGTAGAGGCTAAGAAAACCAAAAACATACAAATTGCAAAATATAGAAATAATACAGCCCTGAAATACACATATTTGGCATGGTCGTCCTAACTGGCCCTGGTTCTCAAACGACACACTCAAATGAGGGCCACAATGCGAATGGCACCCACCAAGGGCAATTAGAATTTTGAGTCACGTTGTCCTTTGTATGTGTTTTCAAGAAGCATTTTCGCGAATTGGCTGTCTGTTTGTATTGTAGCAACAAAAGCAAAGGCAATCGGACCGCACCATCAGCAAGCACCCTCGTCGACGCGCCGGCAAAACGAAACATTTGCAAAATTTGGTTTCGCAACCCGTATCGGCAAATGTTGTACATGTTTTGTATTTTTTGCGGGTCGTAACTTTTTGTATTTTTTGCGGTTGTATGTGTTTGTATTCTTTTTAGCCCCTTATTTTCTTGTCTGTATATTTTTTCACGGGTCGTATTTTGTTGCGGTTGCATTTTGTCGTGTTTTCTATTTTAGAACAATACGAAGAAAAGGTCGTAATTGCTTTTTCGTATTTTAACCTCGAACTGCGGACCGGCAAAACCCACCGACACGTGGTCAGGCTACCCCACAACCACGAGAGGCTGCTCCAAGCTTCCCATCCCACCCATATCAATGCGTATCAAGCGACAATTTCCTTGCATATTGCTTGCAGTTTCGCCTTTTTATGCATTTTGTAAGGGCGTGTTGTTTTTCAAACATGCACAAGTCAAATGTTCATTTTTTAACATACAAGTGGGGAATTTGTATTTCCAGTCGGCTTTTTTTTAAATTTTCTTTTGGTCATGCTTTTAAGTATTTTATCATTCTTAGGCTGTACCTGGAACCGGGGAACCAATTCTATCCAAGACCTCCTTCCATTTTCCTGATGGGATGCACTCGCTACGAGCGTTGTCGACAAACCGGAGCAACGTCGCCCGAACCACAGCAGAAACCGTTGCCTCAAACCCTGGAGTTCAACCTCGGACCCTTTGTTCTTCCCTTTCGGAAAGCAAGTTCAAAAGCTAAGGCACCGACACCTCCCCGTTTGTGGCGCAGGAAATCCATTTGGGCTACCGCCAACGATGCGAGGCCTCCAGCAGCACTGTCCCAAAAAGCAGTCCGCGAACGAATCACGCCGACATTCTTCAACACTTTTCATCATTATTCCCTGCACGTGACATTGGGCCTCTGAAACCGCGTGCCGTGCCACAAAGGCCAATAGTAATGGAGGGTTCTAGGGGTCTCTAATAGTAGGATTGATTGCAAAGTCAGTGCGGTCAAAAGCAACTCTTTTAATTTCTTTTGAAGCTCATCAGGCATCGGTCTATGTCATTCAGCCTGCGATTGAGGTCTGAACAACACGTTCGGGTTCCGGACAAGGGGCCAGCCCGAGTGCCTTGAGAAGATTTGCTCAAACACTTCACGGTGGTTCTTCGACCCCCTTTGGCTGAAAATAATTGATGTGAGCATCCGCCAAAACCGCTGGGGAATGAGGACATGAATTAATTAATATCCTTTTTAAGTCGCCTGAATAAGGGCACCCACTTGCTGGGGGCAAACTGCATTAACCCGGTTACCCGGTTCTCGCTTTCTATTCGACGGGGGCTCGTCTGTTCAGTCAACTTTCCATATCACACGAGCGCTCTTCTACTGAGTTGGTCATTGCTAGTTGTTAGCGCTTGCTCACGTATAAAACTGAAATACTTGCCATGAAGTTTCATGGAAACAGTCCCTTCTGTTCCAGGAATCATTTCCTGAGAGCTCAAATGGTCCTGCTGTGACTCATTCGATTGAGGGTCTCATTTCGCCAAGCGCTCGACTTCGGCGTGGCCCCAAGCAGGCCAAACTTTTGCATCGATCGATGGCCTTCTGCACTAAATATCCATCGCAGTTCCCCACCACGGTGGATGGGACATGTCACAAGCAGATGGTGTAGCGAGCACACCTGGTGGGTTCAGGGTTGTGACCCATGAGCACACATTTGGGCGAAGCTCGAATTTCGCTCGAATCCAGCATGTCAAGCTCAAGATCTTCATGAAACCTGGCTTCTCGCCCAAGTACGATGTAGTCTTCAAAGCCCTTAGACTTCCGCCTCACTTCTCGCAAAAACTGTTGTAAGCGTATCCGATGCAAGGCCCCTGATCCTTTAGTGGTGCAATGGTCTTTGGTCAACGTCTGCCACTTCGCTTCCTCCATGGCTTTGCCAACGAAAAACAAGGGATTTGAGCCCAAACGGCTCAAACCCACGAGCATGAGAGCAAAACCTTTGTTCGACTTGTCCCTGCATCTACATACGTGGATCAACACCTAGCAAAACACTTGCATCATCAAACTCAACATCACCCACTTTTTCAAATCTCAAACAGTTTTGACATGTTTTAAATATCCTTGCCCCCCAACCAAATCAGAAGACCGCTGCTTTGTCCAATCACCTCGGGCACTACCCGGCGGCCTGGGCCCCCGATCTTCGGCTTGCGCGGAAAGCAGCTGTCGAAGGCCTGGTTGCACTAGCCGTTCATCACTAGGGCACTATAGTTTAACTCCCGATCTTTGGAAGGGTCCTAGTACAATCTGGTATAGTAGAAGCACCATCCAATCAAGCAGATCATGGTCAAGTCAAAACCAATCAGAGCTCCTGATAGCACCCAGGCTGAGTCCGGCAGAAGAAGTCCTTCGTGCCATAGGGGTCACAGCAGCCAAAGTCATCCTGAGACAGTCTGCACCAAGTCTGTCAGCAGATCGAACAGGTGAGAGTGAGAGAGTGAGTGAGTGTGAGTGAGAGTGAGAGTGAGAGTGAGAGTGAGTGAGTGTGAACGGTGGGGATGTGACGAAACAGGAGCTGTGCAGCAAAAACCACGTGCGGTTGCGAGCGGCCGTTCAATGTGGGAGTTCCTTTCCAATGGCAAGCTCACTCAAACATGCTTACAACACTGAATTTCCAGCACTGCTCTAAGTCCTAAGAGTCCTAAGAGTTTCTTCCTCACATACCAGGTTAAATCACCTCCTTGCAAAACGATGCAACTCCTGCCGAACCCGCACGATCTTTCGGCGAACCAAACTTCAACAATTGCTCGCAGCTGAGAAGCTTCTGTGCACCTGAGAGAAAGATGGCATCACCGACATGTACGGTGCCATCGTCGGTACGGTGCAACGACCACTCATCCGAAGCGGTGCAACGAATCAGCTCATCTTCTGCGGAACCGGTCGGCAAAAAGGGTCCAAAAGGACGAACGTGGTCCGTTCGGCACATCCGGACTGGGAACGTGTCGGTTTCCCCGAAGCACAGCGGAGCGTTTGGCGGAGCCGTACGGCATCTGACCCTCCGCTGCGACTCGGCACGAGTGCTCGCTCGACGTTCCAAGGCCCCGGACTGAAAGCCTGAGCGCGTTCGTCGTGTGCGACGCAGGAATCGGCCGCTACCGGGCCCTTCGTTCACAGGAATGGGCTGACGAACGGTGGAGCTGATTTGGGACTGTCCTTGACTTCGCTAAGGAACTTGATGCATAGTCTTTGGAAGAAGCTAGGGGCTCAGGCTGCGTACGAACGGGGCGCTTCTTACAGTTTTCATCCCAAAAGAGCGGAACCTCTCGACCTCTCTCTCTGTCTCTCATGGTTCCTCCAGCCGGGGCCAAACCAGCTTCCAAACGCTGAAGCACATGGGCCAAACCGGCTGGCAATCCCGTTCAACATCAACAAGAACAGGCATTGGAAATCATCGGAACCCATCTCAAGTATCACATTCCCTGAAATGATCATGTACCCTGTGCCATCGCTCATGCCATTTCGCTCAGCCATTTCGCTCAAGGAGCCAAAGGCAGCAATGAAGCTGCGGAACCACCGCACGGATCCGCACTCGCCCAAGGCATGGTCTTTGTACATGAGAACATGGTTACCGTGGGCGGGACCACCTGTACCACCTGAAACAGGTCTTGTTCTCATGGTCCCTTTCGGGGCCATGCACGGCCGTTGGCCCATGAGACGCACCGATGGAGCATGGATGGAGTGTGTAAGCGGTGTAGAGACGTGTAAGCTGTGTAGATAGACGCCATGAGTTCGGTTCTTCTTCACTTCGAGTGGCTCCCGTTCATGAGCTCGAACTGCCAGTCCAATTCACCTTGGCATGGTCAGCAATCGGAAGGAACAGGCTTGAGCCCACCGACCGGTCAAGCCACCATACTCTGAGCAAAGGGAACCATAGTGTCATAGGGAACCATATATAAGGAACCAGGAACCACATAGGGAACCCTGTAAACGCTGAGTACAGCTGAGGCTTTGTAGGGCCTTGCCAGTTTCTGCTTTGAAAGCAGCCCGCCCAGTCTTCACTCGGTTGCTTCTCGGCCCAATCACACAAGCAAGCGTTGAGCGTGAGAGACGTGGGCTTTCGAGCCAACGCTTGGTCGGCCAAATGTGTCCAACCTGCGAAGCCGAGGCGATCGGCGGTGAAGTCTGAGGTCTTAGCCGCAACGCTCTCGGTCGCAGCAGGTCTTACAGCTCGGCTGCTATGAAGGGTCATGGGTCATGGAGGGTGAACCCAACTTGAAGAAAATACATGGAATACATGGAAGGCATGGTGCTGATTGGAAGACGACTTTCCTTGATGCACGGGAAAGTGCCATCTTCCACTTCCAAACAGGAGTCGGAGGGTAGCAGGAGGCTCATTTTCCACCAGTGCAGGACACTTAACCACTTTGGCCAAAGCTTTCCATCAAAAAAAGGACCCCCAATCCTTTTCTGAGTCCATTGCCCTTGAGATTCCAAGTGGCTCAATGACGCGCCCTAGCGGCCCCACTGTGAGTACGAATGGAGACACTGGAACCACTGCGTTATTCGTAAGTGTTCTTGCAAGAAGTTTACGTGACTTGGAAGCTTTGCCAGCACATGAGCTAGTATCGCAGAAGATGCAGGATTTGCCATGCCAACCAAAATTCCAGGCACATAGCAACCACTGGACCCTAGGAGGATCTACAGCTATACTTGAGCCATCTTGAACCCACGTCAAGCCTGGTTCCGCAAACCCTCCCTTTGTGCGCTTTTTGTATCCAAGGTGATGGAATGGGTCTATCAACAGGACAGTATGACCCTCTGACTCACTTCCCCCTCACGCCTGCACCAACCAATTTTCGACCGATCCGAGGTCCCCTCGGTCCAACAACGAAGAGACCTCGGGGCCAACCTCGTGGCCGCAACTTCTGCCAAATCTCGTGCAGCAGTTTCAGGATGGGCGCCCGACTAGTGAGAAGCCTGCTGGTCGACCCGTCCGATGGCGGTCGACCCGTCCGACCGGGCCGTGAGGTGGGCGGCGAGTGAGACATGCTGACACCGAGCAAAGACGAAGCCGCACAGAGCTGGGAGTTCAGGGAGGGTTCTTCAGAATGAGGCATGCGAAACTTCATAACTTCATGAGTTGTGAACACATCCTTCGCTGTTGCGAGTAGAAGCCCTCAGTTTCAACGTCATGGTTTTGTTGTGGCCGGCCCTTCCTGGCTTCGCATGGCTGTAGATGCTGTAGCGTGGCCAGCTTACGGATGATCATGGGTGGTCCCAGTTGTATTTGCTTGCTTGCTTATTTGCATGCTGGGAAAACACGTCATTTGTCGAGCAAGCGGCTTTGATCAACTAGAGAGGTGTCATATATATATATATAGTTATAGACACATATATATATATATAAGTAAAACAACATATAACTGTATGTGTATATATACATATAAATATATACACATGCCATGCTTGCACAGCATCGTACATGTCTCTGCCACAGGGCGGGACTTGGCCGCGGCTCAAACAGAACATACCACTACACAAGAATGATCAATCATGATCTTCATCTTCGGGATGCACCGTCACGTCGTTGGGACCCACCATGCTTGGAATGGACACATCGGTGGGTGCCACCTCTGTAGCCTGGGCAGTAGCTTCCGATCACAGCGCACCGCTTCCTGCTCGGCGGCATCCACCAATTGCGCCTTGGACAATAAAACCCAAACCCACGGCCTCTTCCAAGAGTCTCCCATTCCAGTGTGTATGGTGCATGTATGTATGGATGTATATATAAATATATATATATATGTTCCATTACTATTTTATGCCGATACTTATACAGGCTATGCAAATACATGCGTGCGATATTTTCAAGCGTCGTCATGTCTGGTAGCACCCTCTCCTTCATGCGGGTGTCTGCAAAAAAACATCGGGTGAATACAGTGTCTCAAACGCTGCACCGATGACACACCCGGCTTTTCGATGGAGCACGTGGATACCTGGATGGGTCAAGGTATGTCAAGGTCCTAGGGTGAGGGTGTTGTCTGCTATCAACCCATTGCGCCCAACGAGCAACATGTGCAACATGTGCAAAGCAAAAGGTGTAACAACCCAACCAATGGGCGATGTTCCAGCAAACCATGCTGGTCAAGATGCTGGAGGAAGGTAGCTCTAAGCAAACCTGCATCCTAGGCCCACATAAATCGATGCATATAACATCACATAACAACTTGTCCCAAATCACACATGCGCAACAGAACGTCCAGCCATCCATTCCTCGCCTGCGGCGACTGTGCGAAGCCAGACACGTCCGGCGTTGCCTCCGCCAGCAGCGCCAAGTGCAAACGTGCCGTCACGGCCGCAAGGCCTCAGTTTTGGGGGGTCCATGGTCTAAGAACACTGTGCACCTTTTGGTATGCATTTTTGCAAACATCACAAAGCAATCCACCCGTCATTGCTCCACATGCAGGCATTTGGCGACATGACAGGCCGGCCCAACAGCTGGGGGGAGGCTTCACAGGGAAGATGAAAATCAATGGGACCTTTGAGAGCTCGTCGGCCCAAGTGCTTCCCTGGTGTAAAATCCCTCCTCCAGGGACTTGGTGAAGCATCTTCCTTCGTCGCTGCATGTTCCCTGAGGAATGACGTTCCATGGAAGTGGATGGTGCCACGGGGACAGGCCATCCGCATCACTATGCTTATTTGAGGAGAAGCCACGAGCTGCTTGAGGAGAAGGACGCAAGTGCGTTGGACCAACAAGATGATCAAGTGGTGAATGGAAGTATCGAAGTCCGTCAAGTGTTTCTCATGCATTCCGTGCGAGTGGCTCCTAAGGAGGAACTGGCGAGTTGGTCTGCTTTTGTGTTCGGATGTCAGTGGCGGGGGGCAGTGAAGCTCCAACAAACAGCTGAAGACGAAGATGCGAATCACATACACCCCACCAATCCGGACGAAGATGCGCGACCGCCCATTTTTCCACCTCAATCCGGCGAACTCTCGCGTTCGAACGGCTTGCAAAGGGACAATCATCCGAGGAGTTGAGGTTTGACAAGGCCTCAGTGACACGGGCTCTCAGTCAGGCAGCTATCAGAAGGGGTCGGACAACGATACAGAAAAGGCATCTGCAAGCTGTACCGTTTTGTGGGGCTCGCCAACCTGTGGCAACAGCTGCCAAGATGCTAGAACCAAAGACGTGTCTGCAGACGCATCGAGCTGCTTGTAGTAGCTGTTGGTGTTGCTCTGTGCTGGCATGCCTAGGTCGCTTTGCGTGCTCCAACCAAAACAACTTCACGATGTAGCAGGGCGACTCTACTTCGGGATGCGTTCTTTATGTAGATCTTCAGAACCGAATATCAAGGCACTGATTCGCAACATCTCAATGCGATCGGACAGCTTTGTCTCAAGGTACTGGTGAAGAATGATCCCCCTCTTGAGTCTAGGGGCCCCGTCCAAAGATGTCACCCAAGCGTTGGCAACGCTGGTCCCACTAGAAACAACGCCCGGTCCCACGAGGTTTTCTTCTATCCCATTGACATTCTAACGCGCGTTACACTCATATATATATAGATGTTTGAGCACGTGGCGTCCACATCGGTGAAGGGTCCACTGATGAGCTAAGTGGAGAATCACCAATCTCATGTTCTTGCCAGGGAAAAGTCTTAGAGCTGCAATTCTGGTGGGGTATAACAGTGAAATATGTTGCATCGCGTTCGTGGCCGAAAACTCCTAGGACATTCATCAAATAAAGTATACGGTATACCTTATCTGATGAATGTTCCAGGAGTTTTCGGCTACGAACACGTTGCAACATGATGCACTGTAATTTCCTGCTCCTTGATGAGCGCAGCCTGGTTAGGTAGCACTTCTTGCTGCCCCTGCTTGGTCGCTTCTCCTTCATGCAATTCTGTTGCACATGTTTGCAGCCTATGTGATCCGCGCTGAACCTACCTGGAGGTTGCTGGCCTTGTAACCATTCCATGATGTTGTAATTATGTTGGCTGTGACTATCCTGTAATTATGTAGGCAGTCTTGATCTTGTGACAGTCCTTTGTTTTCTCCGTTGGTTTGCCTTGTTCTTTTCCTTTTCGTTATTCCTTTATGAATGTCCTTACCTTTTTCTTTCTTCCATAACTATTCCAAAACCCATCGACCTCCCGTGTTCTACATCATTCAGATCCTGCATTTGGAGAGGTGAAACCACCTCGAACGGCCACCGAGTCCGGCCAACCCCGGCCGCACCTGGCTGAAAGAGTCGCTCACGCACCCGGCGCAGGATGCCGAAGACCGGCCACTTGCTCTGCAGCAGGTTGCTCCAGCCAGCACCGGCAAAGCTCATAGCCCTGGCCTCCAAAGAGAGTCAGGTCGAGTTTCCCACTTCGAAGTTTCCAGGTCTTGGTTTTCAGGAGTGGCATGTCGACGATTTTTGATTTGTATTCCTTGCCCCGTGGGCAATGAGTAACTCAGTAACTCCGAATGATCTACTTTTGGACCGATTTCTTAAGGTGTGGTATGCCCTCATGTGAGACGTAATGTAGACAGTTGATGAACAACAACCCGCCCTAGAACGCAAGTTAGGGGTGAAACATCTCCTAATGTTAATTCATATTGAGCCGGTCATCCTCAAATTCAAGCCTGCCAGAAAATCCAGATCACAATTGATTTTACTTGTGCCCCAGAATAATAGTTTTGAGGTATATAATAAGCAGGAGCCATAATAGTAAAATCCAGATCCCAGATTCCACCCAGAAAGCTCAAGACAAACATTCTGAATGAAAGCAATTGAACGCAAATGCCGCAAATGAAATGAGCTCCGAAGGAAACTGTAATTATAGCTGCCAAAAAAAAACATCCAAAAACCTTCCCCCAAAAAACAAATCGAGAGGTTTACCAGTTTACCCCCCTGATTCTCACTTCATCTCCCATTGCTGGGAGGTTTGACTTGACAACCATCTACAGCACCAGCACGCAGTTTTTATATCATCCAACTTTTGGATAGACCTTGGGCTCCTCGTCGTACGTCCTTCCTCCTTCGGATGCAGCACCTGCACGGTGTGATGCAACAGCAGTGGGCAACCCGACTTCGTCCACCGAAAGGGCCGCGCCGTTTCTGACGGTGCAGACTGTGCCGGTTCTTCCCCCCATTTTTTCCCTCTGAGTCCATCCAAGGTGCCAAGAAAATCAACTCGTGCTGCAGCAAGGCCTTCTTCGACATTTTCAGCTCTTCCTCCGTGACGTGACGATGACGATGACTCGCACCGCCGAGAGAAAACGCGCGAGCGAGCTTTTTCCAAAAAGACTCCGACAGACATCGCAGCAGGTCGTTGGGAGATTTGGACTTGCAACGCTTGCGATCTGAAACCATTTGGATGGGACTGGCCTACTTACATTGGGGGAACGGCACATGTGCTACTCTAAAGTCTCACTGAAAGGCCTGGGTCCGATGGATGGTCCGTGACTTGGTCGTTCCGTCGGATCAAAACAACAGAAGGATCCGAAACAGCTCAAAGGATCCAATCTTTGTGTTTTCAGGTGTGATCAACCATTTTCACAAAGCCCTACTGTATTTATTTCATAGATCATGCACCAGCCACCTCGGAGTACAGCCAATGCAATGAGTTCATATGAGTTCAGAGTGAATGTTGCGCCAATCCTGGTCTGGATCTCCCAATTGCTCTTGGATTCTCTCTTGTGCCACTCAGTACTGCAATCCACAGCTCAGCCACATGTTGATATGGCACCAGTTGCGTCAATGCCGAGGCGAAAGGGCAGTGTCGCTGTAGCAGCTCCCTGCACTCAGCCACGCGTGCGCGGCGCACGACGCCGACGCCGCGGGTACGTCGAACCCCGCGACGCGTCGCCACCGTGCTTGGGGGACCAATTCTCGGGAGGACATGGGCTCCGAGGTCACCAGTGGATGGTTCCGTTCCCGTAGTTCATTGCACTGTTCCTATCCATTGCACCTATTCCATTCTCGATTGCCAGCCATGACAGGTTCACTTGAATGGCAAGGCATCAGGGGAGCCCAAGAAATAGGGGCGTTGTGGGTGGCCTTTGCAGATTACTCTGTTTCTTCACGATCCTTTGACGACACAGCCATGCTGGAGTTGGCAGCCATGTTTTGAAGCACTGGAGCGGCCTCATCTACTGTTGGAGCACTGATTTCCGGGATGTCAGGACATGAAAACCGACCAAGGGCGAAACGCCAAGGAACTGTTCTCGTATCACCATGGCCACGAGGTAGTCCTGACGGCCGCTTGTTTGGGGTCCTATGCCGTCCTTTGGGTCCTATGTCTCTTGGGGTGCCTCTCTGTAGTTCCAGCGTCCTTACTTGTCCGGTCCCGGATTTTTTGACTCTCTCAGCAAAAAAGGGCATGGACAAACGAAAGCGAACCAACACGGACTCCAACCAAACTGTTTTGATGCGTGATGTTGAGGCTGGAAAGCTTACCAATCGACCAAACGGTGAACTTGATCAGCAAACGCTAGGGTCCTGTGCCACGACCTTCGACGAGAATGGTGCCTTCCGATGAGCAGCGGCAGCTGATGGCAGGGCTGGTGTTTTGGCCAGTTCTTTCTCCAGGTGGCACGAGGTTCCTTTCTAGTTCTACCCACCTGATACTATAGTTGCTCAAAATGCCTCTTCGTAAGAGGATCTCAATCCCTTCCTTGTACCTATTCCAAAAAACATTCCCGTAAAGTCAGAAAAACACATGTTGGAAACGTCTGAATGGATGATTCTTCAATTTCTAGACTACAATGCCTCCATAACAATTTTGGTGTACGATTTTGCAAAACATAGTCCACTCAAGCCTGACACCTGGTGCCAATTCTAACCAGGATTGTGTAAAGAGAAAAGCAAAACCCTTTGATGTAGATTGTGCCGCGTTTGATGAATGATTTCATGTAAAATTGTCCTGGGCAACTTTTCGGTCTTGAAGCTCTTCCAAGCAAGCTCGGGTGTTTCTCATTTGGGCTGTTTCTATGTCGGGGATACCTTGTCAAAAGAACGCATAATTTGTTGGTAAGGGGGTCTAGGATGGTCTAGGTAGAAGGAATTATCATGTTCATCCTGGCCTGAAGTAGCTATCATACACATCCGTACGGATTGGAAACCGAACCCTATTTTGCAGGTTCTCATGTCAAATTCATTGGTAAACGCAGTGCTTTGTCATGCGTTTTGCCTAAATAGAAAAAGGCTTTTTCGTGACACCTCAAGTTGCCAGTTTTTTGTGTAGCTAGCTGTCCCCAGTCAGGCTCCGAGTTCAAGTCTTTTTCATCGACGCCATTGTCGGGCAAATCAGCGGCGGCGCACCCATCCGACATGGAGCTGCTACAACGACGCAACAAACGCCAACTCAACACCAACAGTTACCAACAGAAAAGGAGTTAGTTTCTGCCTTTTCGAAAAAGAAAACCTCAACCGCACTTTGCACCAAAGTGCGAACAACGAAAGACGAGCTTCTAACACCTGCTCTCAGTTTACCCTGCCACGATCTGAGCCCAAAACTGTTTCGTGAACAAAAGAAACTAAAGGGTCAGAACAACCACGAGTTAAGCCGTCTACGTGCTGGTCTAAAGAAAAAGGGTTGGCACACCACAAACGAAGAAACCACAAAAAAACGAGGAGGTCAAGGAATACCCGACAACCGACACAACAAAACTAAAGCACACGGTGGCTACTTCTTGAGCCTTCATGCTCATGAGACGTATGTGACAGCAACGAAATTACAAAACCCCCCCATGTTTTCTGTTTTTGGGTCCCCGTTTACGCTATTGCTTCAACTTGGTTATCTTGCGATATGCTCTTACGCAATGCATTGACGTGCCATAATATTTGGCTCAAGGTATGTGCGTGTGAAAACAGCCGCTCGATCGCCTTCGCTCACTCGCTCTTGTGAACCTTGTTGGACTGTGAGTTGAATCCAGGGATACTACTGTGTATTATTACACGCTCCACTGCGGTCAATTTGACCCTCACCCCACCCCCCACCCCCCCAACACCATGTGATGACATGACCAAGCGTCGTGGAGTCCGAAAATGTCAGAAAAGTGGGTCCGGTTTTCAGTCCCTAGGCATACACATGCACAAACATAGCAACAGGAGATATATACTTAGATTCTCAAAGTAGTTGCAAAGGTCTATCATGTTTATCACAACTTATCTAAACTCAAGAGTTATGCTCAGTGAAACGACCAACCATGATGGACATCATGATGGACCTCACAACGACTGGTTTTCGCTTCACAGTGAAATCGGTGGCCGAGTCGAGTCTGCATGAAGCGTCATGTTCTGTCGTTGTATTTTGCTCCAACTCCACCCGCTTCGCACGCGTTCCCCCATGAATTTTCATCCATTCTCTACGTATGGAATCACAACCAATGTGATTCCAATTCGTCAACCGCTCACCAGGCCTCTGACCACACTTTGGGACCTCCACGCCACCTCCACGCTGCCCACCGGACCTTCACGACGCACACCGCGCGCCGCTGCGGGTGTTTGATTGGTTTTGGTTTGCGCCTCGCAACAAAGGTCTCGGTGAGTTTCATCTCTGAAGCAACCGATGCTGGGCGGTTGGTGGCAGCAAAGGAACTTGGGAAGCTCGTCGAAGCAGGTCTGCTCCTTGAAAGAGCGTCAAGGCCGGAATTGACTGACCTAGGAGCACCCATCAGGCCCAGTTTGGTGATGTTTTGTGGAGCAATTGTCGCAGAGGGTCGGGTTCTGCGACCCCGCGACCAATTGGTGGGTTCGGACCACCTGGGACGGTGTTTCCACCCTTTTTCACCTCTCATCATTGGTTTGTAGCGACCAGTTCTCTCCTTCAGTTCCGAGCTCAGTTCGATCGGTTCTCCATCCATTCATCCTGAGTGGACTGGTGCCACGACTTGAACCACCCGGAGGCCAAGCTGGCTTTGACGGTTCGCCACGTCCCCGACCCCGGGAACCGGCTCGTCCCCGACTTCGGCTGGTCCCGAGAGTTCCGGTCGACGGGCCGGGTGGCTGAGACTTTCACAAGCTCTTGCCAAATGAAGTTGCAAGCCGCCGTGTGGCCACCACCTGCACACACAGGTGGTCCCCATGGTGGGTGGAACCGATGTAAAGCAACTAAGAAGTCAGCTACAGTCACCCAGTCTGGACTGAGAGCATCAGTTAAAAGGACGACCGATTGGAAAGGGCCAAATCTCAGAATTATTTTGAAACCATCACCCATATCAACAACAATCACCCGCACAAACACACTCTCCACAGGGCTTGAGCCCAAGAGCATTCCATCCGAAAAAAGTATTTGACGGCCTTCCAGCTGCGAATCGCTTTGTCCGCCGACCAGTTGGGCACCTCAGAAACCAGGTTCTTCAAACGAACTGAGCCTGGAGCCCGGGAGGCACCCCACCACCCCTGACCTTTCCATGCTTTCACGCTCCAAGTAGTTCGCTCACGCTCCTGCGCCCCAGAGGTCCAAACCAGACCTGGACACCGGTGCCGGTCCTTGGCGTTTGTTTGGTCGGGCTCCAGGTGGGTGGGGCACGACCTATTCCCATCCACCAACATCCGGGCCAAGGACCTCCAGGCTTGGCTCCACGTGGCCGTCTGCCTATCACACCATCGTTGCGCACCCTTTGTTTTTGGAGCCTCCCTGACCTCCTGTACAAATGATGGGGACACCCAAATCAACAGGAACAAATGGTGGCTCCAAAATGGCAATTAAGATCCTTTACGGTCCTTTACATCGGAAGTGGCTATTTGGTGAAACATCCATGGCGTTTTTGGTTGTTTGGTTTTCCTGGTATGTGAATCACACACGAATCAATGTAAGAACATATGTAAACATATGTAATGTTTGATTGAAAACATTGTGTTTGTTGGTGAACTTTCTGCGGGTGAAGGTATTGGTGAAGGTATATACATATTCCTCCGTGGCTGCTCAGGCGCTGAGGAACACCGCCACGCACAAAGTACCGGTGGAGATGTTGAGCCATCGCTGCATTCATCCGCCTCGCTTCAGTCGACAGTCGCTGATGGGGTCGCCTCCTTCTTGTTACTAGTAGGAATGCCAGGAGCGACCGGAAAAAAGGGCTTCCGGTAGCAGCACCATCCTGTCTTGTCTTCAGGAGCTGAAGAAAGAATCGAAGCTACAGTGGGCTTCCGGTACATGACTTGCGTTTCCATGCTAAACTCATAATAACTTATATATTCTTATTACTTTTTATGTAGGTACACAATTGACACACACATGGATTATATGGATATGACTTATATGACTTAACTTATATGCTTCAGTTCTTTAAGCCAGCATCAGCACCTCTGGCACCCCTTTTTGCTGCTTTGTTCCGCAGTGACCACTGGCATCTGGTCTG